TCTGGACAACCCCATGGTGGCAGGGCCAAGGTAGAGGCAGTCAGAGGCCAAGAGGGGATGGCACTTTTGGGTGATCAGGCTGGTGGGGGGGCTGGGCCGTTGGGGGTAAGCATACCAGCAGGGGTGTGGGGGCAGTTGAAGGTGATCAGGACAGTGGGAAGGGGTGCAGTTTGGGTGAGCACACTGGCACGGGGGGCAGTTGGGGTGATCAGGCTGGCGGGGGGGATTTGGGGGCAAGCAGACCGGCAGTGGGGGGCAATTGGGGGCGAGAAGGCCAGCAGGCAGAGTGGCTAGGGGTAATCAGGCAGGCAGGCAGGCAGGTGAGTGGTTAGGAGCCAGCAGTCCCAGATTGCAAGAGGAATATCCGACTGCCGGTTTAGGCCCGATCCCTGTAAACCAGCAGTAGGACATCCTTCAAGAGGTCCCAGATTAGAGAGGGTGCAGGCCAGGATGAGGAATATCCCCTCCCCCATGCACGAATTTCGTGCACCAGGCCAATAGTATCTATATATTACAATATTGCTACAGATTAAAACTTTATATTATAAAGCTACATTATAAAACTTTCCACAGTTTCCTGGATATGCAGTAATGCAATATTACATGTTATATAATGAATTTTTTACCATGGTACACACACATTTAAAATTCTCTGTCTCATTGGTGGTTGGTGGTCGGGAAAGAAGCCTAGGCTGGAGATGCAGTTTTTGAGCCATTAGTGTACAGGCATAGATAAAGCTTTGGTTATGGATTGAATTATACAGAGAAAGTGTGTAGATGAATCATATAGGAGGACAGTTAAAAAACCAAGTGTTTTGCTACCTTACATTTTACAAGGCCTACCTGTCTAAAGGCCTAAAATTTTCCATCTTTCCACCTGAAACTTTTTCCCCTCCTTCAAAATATTATAAAAACCTCGAAATTTTGATTTGAATAAGGATGTAATACAGAAAGACATAGAGTCCATCTAAGTCACAAGTTTTATGGATCCTCAAGTAATAGTGAAAAATCATAATAATTCAAGGAAGATTATACTCTCTGATTTATTCTTAAGGTTTGAATGTGACATGACTATTAAGTAATAAGATTTTAATGCAAGTGTAACTATATCACTGTATTATGCTATTACCCAAATACTTTCAAAATTTTTCTTTTGGAAGAGTTCCTGGAGACTTTATAGTCCACCTCACAAAATAGTCTTTGCCATCTGTATGTTTCCTAGCACGGCCGTTAAAAAAAAAAAAAATACTGCATACTCAGGCTTAAAATGACAAAAATGTATTCCCACAGTTCTGGAAGCCAGAAGTCTGAAATCAAGGTTTTGTCAGGGCCACATTCCTCTGGAAGACTCTAGGGGAGAATCTTCCCTTACCTCTTCCAGCTTCTGTTGGCTGTTGACATGCCTTGACTTGTAGCCACATCACTCCAGTTTCTGCCTGTGATCATGTCGTCTTCTCTTCTGTGTCTGTTTTCTTCTCTTTCTGTCTCTTATACAGATGCTCGTCATTGGATTTAGGGCCCACCTGGGTAACTTAATGACATCTGCAAAGACAGTTTTCTCCAAATACAGCCACATTCACAGGGGATTAGGACTTGGATATATCTTTTGGGGGCCACTGCTCAACCCACTAGTCCATCATCCTAGTCCTATTCCTCTCTCCCTATTCATTACTTTTTCACCATGGCCCTGCCTCCCTTTTCCTCCTTCCTCTGTCTCTTTGATTCAACAGTTTGAGTACTCACAGAGAAGTTTGAATGAAGGGAGGGAATCTGTTTTCAGAAGTTGGAACTGTGTTATCAGGAGCAAATCAAGAAGCAGACCATCCTGCACTGGCAGCATAGTAAGTGCTGCAAATGGGAGCATGACAGCAGTTAGCTCAGTAGCATAAATACAAAAGTTAGACGGCAAATGAAAAGTACCTAGGAGGTATGTATGTATGTATGTATAAATAATTAAATAAATAAATAAGGTTTCTTCTGTATGTCTTCAGTTCTTAACAGGGTTATAAAAGTAGAAAATAAAATAAGATTACAGCCCAGCTGGTGTGGCTCAGGGGTTGAGCGTCGACCTATGAACCAGGAGGTCAGGGTTTGATCCCCAGTCAGGGCACATGCCTGGGTTGTGGGCTCAGTCCTCAGTAAGGGGCTTAGAGGACACAGCCAATCAATTGTTTCTCTATCATAGATGTTTCTCTCGCGCGCTCCCTTCCTTCCTCCCTCCCTCCCCCTACCTCTCTGAAATAAATAAAAATATATTTTTAAAAAAGAGTACATATTATTATAAAGTAGATTAAATAATGAAGATTTATGTTCTGATTTTTTTCACTTTCATTTGCAACTCAAAGTTTTAACACTTGTTTTAAAGCTAGATATTAAAGAAGAAATTGAAGATGAAGAAAAGACAATTGAAGATTATGTTGATAAGAAGATGAATGACATTGATTTCACTTCCATTGAAACTATGTACTCTGTTGCCAGTCAATGTCTGAATGAAAAGAAAAATAAGAGACCAGACATTAAGATGGTATTAATTTTTTATACTTATTTAAAAAGTGAAGGAGGTGGGATTTGTCTTTTTTTCCTTAAGTGTGCATTTCAAAACAACTATTTAATACAGTTCTTTCTGTTTTGTTTTTTTCTCTCTGTCTTTATAAAAGGTCCAACAGCTGCTGCAAGAAATGATGGCTTCTTAAAACTTTAGAAGAATAGACTCTTGGCTTTTTAATATACAGCTATCAAAACCATTTTCTAGACTAAATGTTCTGGTAAACATTCTTTTTTACCTTTAACAAAGCAGCATGATGTAGTGCAGTGGTTATTAAAGCTTATGTAGAACCCCCAACATACAGAACAAACAGAAGTAGAGCTGCCATATCAATGCTTGGCCTGAACTTCTTAGTGTCACCCTCCATTCATGCAGTAATCCCTTGAAACGTCTTCTTGGAACCTCACCAAACACAATTTGAAAACTACAGGATTAGCAAAAAAGAAGACTGGACTATAGAATGAAAAGGCCCAACTCCACTACTAATTTTCTATAAAGCTATGGTCAATCTCCTCGCTGCTTTGAGCTTGTTTTTTTCACCTGTAGCATTGGACTATACTTACTGTACCTCTCTGACAAGTAGTCGTGAAAATCAAATGATGCAGAATGTTTACAAAGTACTTATAAAGTGATATAAAATTTAAATTTTATATAGATTATTATAAAACTTTTACATTCATTTGTTTATACGGTCGTGTTCACAATGAGCTCTTTTTTTAATTTATTTTTATTATTTTTATTGATTTCAGACAGTGAGAGAGAGAGAGAGAGAGAAACATCAATGATGAGAAAGAATCATTGATTGGCTGCCTCCTGCACACCACACACTGGGGATCAAAACCACAACCCAAGCATGTGCCCCAACTAGGAATCGAACCATGACCTCCTGGTTCATAGGTTGATGCTCAAACCACTGAGCCATGCTGGCCAGGCCACAGTGAGCTCTTTTAAGCAATTATTCACCACAAGTCAAATATTCCCAGATGATATTCCCGTGATATGGCCATAATTAGATTATGTTGCATAGCAAAGTTGATGGAATTTTGCAATGCAGTTAAGGTTCCTAATCAGCTGACTTTAAGTATCAACAGGGACTGTGCTGGGGGGCCTGACCTAAGGTGAGCTCTTGCAAGAAGTCTGAGAGATTCTCCTGTGGGCCTTGAAGAAGGAAGCTCCCATGTTGTAAGAAGGCCACATTGGCTAAGACCTAAGGGTGGCTTTCAGGAGATGAGAGCTACCTTCTGGCTGGGACTTCAGATCTATAGCCACAAGAAACTGAATTCTTCTAACAGCCTAAATTAGCTTAGAAGAGTATTCCAGACTTCAGATGATGCTGTAGTCCCAGCTAACACCAAAATTTCGGCCTTGTGAGACCCTCAGCGAATCTAGCTGCGCTGTGCCTGTATGTCCTACGTACAGAACTGTGACATAATAAATGAGTTGCTATAAGCTACTAAGTCTATGGTCAGTTATTATGCAGCTATAGAAAATGAATGCAGATTTTCCCTTGATGATTCTCCCATGGTGATATACCATCATGTTCACAAATTCTGCCCGTGCTCAAGGGGTTGATAGGGATTAAACAGTGTGTATATACACCAGGGGGTTGCAGTGTACTGACTTTCACTGGATTTCTCGATTTTCCTCAGTCGCTTCTCTTTTGTTGTTCTACTACAGAGAGTGAGAAACCTCTGGATAGTAGTGATGAATTGGTTTATTTAAATGACTTTTAATAATTTCTCCTAAGTTTAAAATTTTCAATTGGTTTATATTATTTGAAAATTGATTTTTCAGGTTTGAATTGGCAGAAGGAAGTAATTTACTTAATCATGAAAACTGGCTGATAGAAACGCTAATATGTATAGAAGAAATGCCGAGTGCCTGCAGTTATTCACTCGTTCATTCAGTAAGCTTTCTATCTTTAGTTCTTTCATTAACACACTCAGAACAAGAATATGTACAGTTAGCTACAGTAGAAAATGCTCATCCTCTATATTGTATTGTTTAGACCTTCCTAGATGTTTTCCTGGGAATCAAAAATAACACATCTTTCTAATCACCTTGTTAGCTCAGTATTTAAGCAGAAAGAAACATTTGCTAGTTGAAAAGGAAAAAGAAAAATAAGTAAATTGACTTAATTACATCAACTTCAGTGGGAACCCACATAATTTGAGGCATGATATGATACTGAACATAATTATGCTATTTTAAAATATAATTAACTGGAGAAACCAAGATGGCGGCATAGGTTACCGCCAGAGATTGCTGCCTTGAACAACCAATTCAAATTACACCTAAAAGATGGAACGGACATCATCCAGAACCACAGGGAGGCTGGCTGAGTGGAAATTCTACAACTAGGAGGAAAGAGAATATCATACCCAGACTTAGAGGAGGCACAGTGCTGACGTGAAATACTCAGGTGGGGAGGGCGCGCGGAGCAGGCTGGTGGCGGAGGGCGCGGTTGTTGTTTTCAATCGGGAGGGAGTTTCAGACTCTGAGCTCCAGATCCGGGCGAGTGTCTAGGGGCCCAGACTCAAACAGGAGAAGCAGGCCTGTCTGGCTTCGGTCGGAACCCGAAGGCAGCTTTTTCTCCGAGGTTTGCAGCGGTTGCTGGGACTCTGTGAGGCAGAGCCCCTAGGGACGGAACTGAGAGCAGCCCTAACTGCTCGCTCCGCCCGC